CTCGGCCCTCAGGCGCTGTCGCAGCGGGGGTGACTCCGCTGGCCGCGGGAGCAGTCAGCATGATGCACAGTGCTGTCCCTCCTGCCCACCTCTGCCTTCGGAGTATTAATTATTCAACCTCAAAATTACCAGCCCTCCGATCAGAGGGGAGTTGGCTGGACTGGGAGAAACGCCATAGGGACAGTATTTTCCAAGCAGCCTTGAGCAGCTCTTTATTTCACTCAGCAGAAAGCTAAACCTCCGTTTGTGTGCAATACGTTAACAAAAACTTAAAACAGATTCCAGATACCTTATCCAACCAGTTCAAAAATCATCCCAAAGATAATGATCTTGCCTAAAATTTACCATGGTGATGGCTGGGGATGGAAACATACTTCTATGTAACTGGGAGGTTGGGAAGGTTTCTCCATATGGTGACATGATGCAGGGTGACATCGAGCCAAACAATTAAAGGAGAACTGCTTGTGGACATCACTGGAGCAAGTCTCACGGGCAGGGCGCGCCAGGGCAGCCCCAAGCGCGGCCCCCTCGCCGCCCGCATACGCGTTCAGGCCCTACTTCCGCGTATATGAAGTTATGTATTTGTGTACCTCATTATCAAATTAATAAAAACCCTTGTGCCTCATTTCAGTCTAGCTGAGTGCAATCACCCTGGTATGGAGCAATTTATCAAGTTACTCACATGGCCACTAGAGGGTACATCAGAGCGCGTTCCTTGAGAGCACCCCACCCGGCCCACTGGAGACTGCTTTGGTTTAGCGTGGGTCACGCCTAAACAGCATTTTTAAAATCTGACTATCAAATTATATCCAATAAACTTATTTAAAGTAACTTTTATGGTAGAAGCTCTAGTGAAGGATGATTAAGGAATGCACATGTGTAGTCTGGGGGAAGATCAGGAGAATCAGCGAGCAGGAGGGTATTAGAAGTACAAAACCTGTCATTGCTTGTAGGAATCAGACCAGTGTAATCAGATGGGTGTTTGCTGGATAATTTAATTTTTTTTTTTCCAATTCTGATACATCAGTGTAAAATGATTTAAACTGTCAGCCATGCAGCTCATTCTAGAGACTGAATCTGTGAAGGCAAATTAATTTCTTCACTACAAGTGGTCGGTGTCGAAGCAAACGCAGGGCGCAACAGTGGAAGCTCACTATACTGCCTGCATGGGAGGACATCACAGCAGGAAAAAAAGTAATGTGTCAATTTGTTTTCAAACGGATTCTGGATGACCGCTTCCTTACACTGTGGAGAAAGCTGAAGGTAGAGAAGCCGTGCATAGGCTTGACACAGTTTTCAGATTGACGCCTGTCATAAATTGTTTTATTGTCGTCTCCCATTTTGTACAGAAACACCCCGGGAGTGGGTTAGAGTTTAATACCCAGAGACATAGAGCAGAAACAGCAGAGAATCACAATTCATTAGGCTAATGAAGAAACTTTTCATACCTAACGTATGTTGTTTTCTAAATTATTAAAATTTAAAGCATCCAAGCAGCCTGCAGCTGTCCCGGTTTGTATTCCAGATAGGTCTCCGGCCTTAACATGGTAAAGAAGAGTCCGCCTGGTCCTGAAGGTATGAACTGCAGTGTCAGGTTTGAGGGAGAAGATGATACCCGTCTTTCCCTCATGACAAGCTCAGGATAGGGTTGCCATCCACATAAACTGTGGCACCACACCGTTGTCTTTGCAAAATAACTTCAAAAGCTATCATGATTATGTAAATACCTTTCTGTCAGCAGTGCCCTTCAGCTTGCTCAGGGCCTCATTTGTTCTCTGTCCTCTGTAAATACACAGAAAGATTGTCCTTGCTTCAGAGGTTTTAAAGCTAAGAAATGGTTACACAGTCTTCAAAATCAGGTCATTGCCTTTGAATTTGCAAACAAGTCTATACAGAGTTCACAAACAAACCAACAGAGGCCATTTCTGGGAACAGAAATATTGGTCAATCTTAAAAGGTTAAACCTGGAAAGTTGCAGATTTCATTACTATGGTTTAAAAGAGCTATTGTAGTTGGGAGATACGAAATCTAGCTGTTGGGTAGGCTCTATACCATGAAAGAGGGACAACCTGCAGATAGCGTTTAAGGTAATGGGATTTTTATAGCATCATTTCTGAGCTCCAGATAAAGGTGGTATATCTTATCTTCTCTGAGTAGCAAATGTAAGCAACAGAGATATCAGAAAAAGATTCCTGCTTCTGTTGGTTTCTATGTGCATGCTGTAGAGGTGGATTTACGGGGTGTGCAGAACCCCTAAGATATCCTTCTCAAGCCCTAAAATATTGCACTAACCTACTTTAAAATGAGCTCAGTGGAGGAAAAATAGGCCATCTCTTTAGATTGACATGAATCTAAGGAGTTTATTCAGCACCAGCAGTTTATGAAAGAAAACAACCAGCTGCAACCTTATAGGACTGTTAGAATCTCATTTTCTAGTGCTCTCTTACAGTCCCCAGCGTCAAAAAAGGATAAACTGGCTCAGACCAAGACATGAACAACTCACGACCAAAACCTCATTCTTTTGGATTAATATTTTAACCGCTCACATATTAAAAAACTCAAAATCCATGAACCATAAAATTCTCAAGACGTTCCCCGACCCAGCAGTTCCACCATGAGTTTGCAGTGTTGTGGGATGTTTTGTCTAACCGATGCCAGAACACAGATAAAAGATGGAAGTGTGTGAGAAAGTCACAGTTAACCTCACACAGCTCTACAGAAAAATGATACCTGCGTCTTCCTTACTGAGGTCCCACTTGCCATCACCTCTTGTCTCCCAGGGATGTGGACACTGCAGCTCAGCTGTTGGAAGAAGCCCAGAAACCATTTTATTCTGGTGTCTTTGTGTGGCATGCTCTTTTCCAAGCTTTCCGTCTCTTTCCTTATCTCTGCCTGCTCAACTCTACAATGCTGGGAAAGACGCTCCTCGGCAAGAGCTAACATGGGGAGCACCTGAGGGTGAAAGGAAGGAAGAGAGCCTGCAAGAATGCCTAGCAGTGGCCAGTAAGGCTCCAAAAAGGGGAGCACAACAGGATTGCTCCAGAGAAAACAAAGCCTTTGTCAAGAAATCTTGCTTGGTACTTCACCGAGCAGAAGGACCACCAGAAAACGAGCAGTTTGCAGACCAGCATTAAAGCCACATAATTTTCTACATGTCTTATATTCAACTCAAGCTGGTCAAGCCCTTTTGCATCCCAGTGGCAAAACGAGGGCTGTCCACCCTCTTCCCTGCAGTGAACAGCAGAACGTTTTAGTTACATGTGCATCTCATACTCAGTTCACCTGTTCATTATCCTAGTTTCAAAAACTTTTAGTTGAAGAGACCTGCTGAGAAAAAGCAGAGACCTGGGTAGCCATGCTATCTGTGTCTCCAAGTAATGAGCGCTGAGAAAACAAAAACAATATTGTAAACCAATAAAGTGACACTTATCAAAAAAGACTTTGACACATTTTATTGACCAGATAATGTCTAGTGCTTCTAGCTGATATATAAATTTCTGTTTGGTATTATGATAGATTTTGCACATGTAGAAGATGCTTACGCTGCATAGGGAATAATCAATTTCAGACAGTAACGTGAAGGGATACTTTCAAATATCTTGAGACCTCAGGTCATAAACAAATAAAAATCTGATCAGAATTACAAACTCTTCAGCCTCGTGTTCCCATGGAGTTCCACGTCCCAAAGGTATACTCTAAGTTCCTCTGAGCTTCTGTGCCTAGGACCTGACAAAGCCACTAAATGGAAAGGAAACTGACAGGTACGTTTTAATTGTCTGAAGGCAGTGGAAAGCAGAGATAACATTATACATGAAAAGTACCGTGTTTTTGTTTTAATAAAATCTCACGTATATTCCAGTTACAAAGCGACGTATAAGGGCCCTAAAAACCAAAACACTTCCCTTCAGGGTGAGGTATACTACAGTAGGAGCAGTAAGGTGCTGGGTTCAATAGGCAAAGCACTGTCAAGGTAGTATGTCATCTGTGTACAACTGCCACCACTCCTGGGCAGAGGACAGCAAGCTGGAAACGTCAGCCACAGAACACAGTCAGATACTGTGTTTTGTCAATGCGCCCTGTAACAGCAGGGTGAGGAAAAGTACTCTGAACCACTGCATAAACTCTCTCCACTACTATACACTGCCATCAGCACACAAACATTCAACCAAGAAAATCTTGTGGACAAATAAAACTTTGTGGAAGCAGTCACGCAGGCTGGCAATGGTACACAGAGCACAAGATCTGACGTAAGCCTTAAATAAGCCATTGTATAAATGCATAGACTTCCCTCAGTATAATCACCTCTTTCAGGAAATGGCTTTGGGGAACGTAAAAACAGAAGAATTTGAAGGAATACTCCCAAGTCTTCTTAGCCAGCCTGGGACCCTTCTGCTGGGAAGGGTCCGGGAAGAGAACCGGAAAGAAGGATCCTTCTCCCTTGCAAAGCGTGAAGAAATCTGAACAAACCTGAGAACCCCTGTGGACCTCAATAAAGCCAAACGTGCTCTGGAATTTAAACAAGGTTTTCACTGCTACATGTGACAGCAAGAGAACTTTGACTAGGCTCATGTAAGCATGGCCATCGCCAGGCTGCTAATGGCAAAAGCAGGGTCTTAGCCATAGACAGCTGGAGAGCCTCTGGCCTGCAAGACTGGCTTGAGATAAAGACCTTGAACTATTTTAGTAAATCTGTATGGCTGATTGCCCCACTCTTCAGCTGTGTATGCGCAGGAAGCAAAGGTAGAAGAGAATCCCAGAGGTGAAGGTGCGGAATTATATAGATCATATCATAAGAGGAAACAAAAGGATGGAGCTGGTCATCTCTGGGTTGTGTCTTCGCCAGAGCTTTGTTCCAATGGGCGGCTCACAGCATCACAGGAAAGTCATGACAGTTCTGTTCTTGCCAATCTGCCAGGGCTCCAGTGGGTAAAAGCGGATGACAATCCTTTTTGGATATAAGAAGAAAAATACAGTGGAAAGGAAAAGTTATTATTTTACAATGAATTTTTATCCCTACCCAGTTTGCAGCAAGCTAGAAATTCTGCCCTAAGCTCTCACCAGCTCCCACTCCAAGGTTTTCATTTAACAGAAGGAAATACAGGCTGTGTGCAGGCAGGGTACAAAGGTGCCAAACTTTGCCCACATAAACAGGAAAGCAGGTTGAACCTGAGCACTGTTTATATGCGATATTTGTCCACTTCAGAAGCTCCCAAGCATCTCATTATCTGCTCATGCATTTATCCTGACAGCACCCAAGAGGTAGGGAAATGCAATTATTCTCCTTGTGGAGAGAAGGAAGAGGGTCAGAGAGACACGGCTTACCTTCAGGAACGATTTCGTTTCAGCATTTGGCATGGGGCTCTACAGAAGACTCGTTTGCGCTGGGTTTTGCACCAGTTACGCCAAACAGAATTACTCATGCTCAGAGAACAGTAGTTCCCAGACTGTTCAGTGTGTGCAAACCACTCCCCGTTTTTACCTGCGCTGGTACCTAGCCCGGCTGTCTGGGATTCAGCATCCAAGAGCACTTAATGTTTGCCGTCTAGTCTTGGACCTATATTAGCCTTAATCTCATGGATAACACGGGAGCTTATATCACCAACATTTTGAACATCTTCTGATGTTCTGTTTCCTGCATTCCATATATTCAGAGGTCCTGAAGCTGGAACAAACAAACCACCGTGCCAAGAATTATGTGACTTCAACCCACCACGAACCTCCGCTGCCGACGACGCAGCGGTTGCCATCTCCCTGCCCGCAGGGGAGGCACTGGCACCCCTCCCACCCCATGGGGAGCGGGATTGAGAGATTTACGCCACCAAAACCTACTCTGACCAAATATAAACATTTATTAACCTAGGGTGGCGCGCTGCCTGGTTTATCGGCCCTCCGCGGGCAGCGCGCGCCAAGCAGCAGGAAGGGTCGGCGGGGGACCAGGGGCCCCGGCGGGCC